AAGCAAATAGAGTAGCAAGTTTTCCCAAAATTTAAAGTTTGTCGTGTCTGAAAGAAACAAAAGGGGCCATGTGATATTTGTTTGTGCATGTTTTGGCAAGGACGTTTTTTATCCGAGTGATCCAGAAGACTCCAGTCCAAAGAAGTAACTGCAAGACTTGGAGATAATTAGTTCGAACAGTCCATAAAATGATAATCCTAAGAATTCAACTTATATCACTACAGCAAATTTGATTATTAGTGATGAATTATTTCGTCACCCAAAGTTTATTTTTCGTCACCAAAGAACTTTTGTGACGAAAGTTTTTTTGTCAATCGTTCGTCCTTAAAACACCATCACTAATAATATACAAAGACAATTTTGTGCTTCGTCGCTAAATAAAATTATATTAACTACGAAATTTTTTTTCGTCCCTAAATATAAAGTATTTACGACAAACTTGTTTGTCACAAAAAATATGAAAAAAATCGTAGTTAATAGTGTAGTTTCGTCACTAAAAAGTACATTAATGCCGACAAAACTACCTCGTCACTAACTATTAGTTTAATTAGTGACGATGCAATTTTGTCACTAAAGACTATCTTTTATAGACAAAAAAGTATTTCATCCCTAAATAGATAAATTAGTAACAACTTAGCTTTTTTTAAAAAATATATAATTTTGTAATGGAAAACTATTATTTTGTCGCAAAAAGTATTTCTTTCAATGATAAAATAAAATTGTTACTATAATAATCATGATTAATGACAATTACAATTGACATAAAATAAAGTAAATTCGTAGTCAATAAAAAGGTGAACCGCGAGTAAACTAATTGGAAATAATATAATAATACATACAAGGTAACAACAAAAATTTGCACCCATGATCATAAAATTAAGAACTATACCATATTACAATAATATCTCTTACAAACTCCTAAAACTAAAACACATAAATAAAGTAAAGTTTATCTAACGCGAAGTCTAATCAAAATACATGAATATTGATTATAAAAAAAAAGTATGTTGCTTCTCCAAATGCTAATGTGTGTCTAATAATTTTCATCTTCATGTACCTGAGAATAGGAAGAAAAAAAAAGTTATAATTTTAGTACATACTTAATGATCACATAATTTAGAAAACATATATTTTAAATGTTATTTATAAATCAAATATTAATTAATAATTAATAAGAATAATAGAACGAGAAATAAGTACTGATAAAGATACTTACTCCAATTCTTCTTTGGCTATAACCATATTCATACTAAGAGATAAAATTTTGAGCTGTTAACCTCTCAAAAATTAGAGAACAATAGACAAAATTTCTTCATACCCTTACAATAAAATTAAAATAAATAAAAACACAGTAATACATACATGTCATATGCCATCTGGAGATACCCAAATTTATAATGCCCTAAATACATATCGAAAGAAAGTAAAGTAAATTATATACCTTGTCTTGAAATGCCCATCATCCCAGATTAGGTCTTCTATGCTGTTAAATCAAGAAAAAGTTTTGGAGAATAAACACACATGCACATACAGAGAGATTGAGAAAGTGAGAGACAGAAGTAATATATTGATAGTGAAAATGATAACAGACTTTACTTGGGCAAGGGTTTGATTGGGGGTTGAAGATCTCATAAAGAGATATGAGGAGGAAAATTGAAAATAACGGTAGTAGTCAATAAAAAGAGGGATTTGGGAAAAAGGGAGGGAAATTTGCCGCTACGTTTTTCGTCAACTTTGAAGAAAAATTTGAAACCAAAAAAAGTTGCAAGAAAATTAAGAATTTTATTTTATGGCAAAAAGAAATTAAGTATGTTATCAATGATAAAAAAAAATTCACTGTAATAACTATGAAAATATATTGTTGTCAATTTATCTACACTTTGAACATATTGTATTACCACAAGATTAAAAATTTTGTTAGCATAGCAATTCATGATTATTATCATATATACCAATAATTAAATTAAATTGCTGCCATTTATTAAAATTAACAAAATATTACGGACTTTGTGGGGAAAAGAATTATTGTTGTCAACTGCTTAAAAAAAGCTAAAGCTAATAAGTGGCAATGTAAGTCTAGAAATAACCAATACTGAGTTAATATTTTATAATAAATAACTTAATATAAGTTGTCATTTGTTGGACAAATACAAAGGAAGAAAAAATAATTAATGATAACTCATTTAGAATATATTTTGTCTTCTACTATTTCATCCGTATTACTTTAAGTCTATGTTTATACCAATTCGTTTCTTAATACTATATTGGAACTAATGTTACTAATTAAATGAATATTCATAAATATTAGAGCAATAATTAAATAATTATTTTATTTATTGTGAACTTTATTTTGGAAAGGATAAAAAGGTGAACGAAATTTCGCTAAGGTTTTTTTGTACTTTTAATATATTATAGATAATACAGTTAGAGCCCATTTGGATTAGCTGATTGTAAATAGCTGATAAGCTTGAAGTGCTGAAAAGCTTTCCTATGTGCTGGAACTGATTTTTAAAATAAGTATTTACGTGTGTTGGATAGAAGTGTTGAAACTGATAATAAGCAGTTGATGTGTCTGATAAAAAGTGCTGATAAGTTATTCTTTTGTTAAAATGACTAAACACTCTTAAATTCTTTTTCAAAAGATTATAAATTAAAAAAAATATTTGTAAAGAAAAGAATTTAACAACGAATATGGATTGAAGAAATTCGGAAAATTTATTTTGAGAAAAAGTATTTTGTGAATTAGAAAATATTATTAAGGATAAACTACTAAAAGTGTCGGTTAAACTAAAAGTACTTATAAGCTGAAAAGCTATAAGTTGGGGGTGACCAACTTATGGCTTATGACTGATTTTAGCTTATAAGCACTTGGCTTATAAGCACTTAAGGTGTTTACCAAATGCGTAAATAAGCCAAATGTGCTTATAAGCCAGTTTGACCAGCTTATAAGCTTAGCCAAACACCCTTTTAATCACCAAGCTTTTTCACCGCTAAAATATAGTAACTAATTTTAGACAAATAATGATTTTCACTAGTTGCCTACAATATTAGAGATGAAACTAGCTTGTCACCAATAATATTAAATATTGTGACTAATGTTACTAAATAACTAACGACAATCCATCTTTTTGGTGGAAAACCTGAGTAGATAAAATTTTCTACGAAATATTTGTTTCTTCACTAAATGTATGTGCATGTGCATTTAAGTACGACTCGAATTTTTGTTCCAAAAAATCAATACTTAGTGATGAACTTTTTATGGTACCTAATAATTTCATAGGTCAAATAGAGATGATACACTAATCGTCACTAATTTGTTTATGCTATTAGTGACAAAAACTAAGGTTGCAAAAAATATAAAACTTTTAGTGACGAAACTATTTCGTAGTGAAAATATAACTAATTTTAAGACGAACAATTATTTGTCACCAATTGTCTACAACATTAATGACGAAACAATTTGTCACAAATAATATTAATTTTGTGGCTAATATTAATCAAATTTTGGCGCCAATTCATTTTTTTGTGGGAAACTTTAGTAGACAAAAATTTTGCTACGAAATTTATGTTTTGTCACTAAAAGTATGTGCCTCATGTATTTAAGTACGAAATATAATTTTTGTCACAAAAATGAATAATTAGTGACAAATTTTCTATTGTAGCTAATATTTTCGTGGTTAAAAATCACATTTATTGTAGTGTATATTTATTAGTAATAGTGTAAAATGTTTCTTGCACTATCACTCTATCAGTATATTTTAATATGTTATAACACATAATCTATCTTATTTTTCAAATTACTAATCCTATTTTATAGATACGGATAGTTTGTTATCTTCGAGATACCTTATAGTGTAATAAAAGTTCTTTTAAACTGTCAATATATGGAAGTCAAAATCCGTTATCCTAATACAACTATATGAGATGTGAGCAGGGGAGGATGCAGCGTAGGAGTGCCGGCTTCAACTGAACCCAGTATTTTCGATCCGAAACATAAATTTATATGTAAAAATCTACCAAAACAAAACTGCAAAAACTGGTAGATATGAACTCATAACTTTAAAATATAATGGGTTCAATGCTAAGAAATTAAGAGGTTGAACCATAGAATTCGAATCCTAGATCCGCCTCTGGCTGTGAGCATCAGATATTACTCGTAAAGCCGACTATGTATTAGAGAATTACTTGGGAGTAATGCGACTACTAGTTTAAATTTTAGCAACATTAAATCTAATCAATGTATTGTTGTGAGAACCTGGAAGATGCTCGATCTTAATCTTTTATATTAATTTGCATGAACTACTTTTCTCATTTTTCACTTGATTCTGATTTAGTTTGCACGTATTGCTCACATGTCAACTAAAATGCATGGAGATTTCTATTAGCTAGCTAGTTTTTCTTCCAGTTGACGTTGCAGTTTAATTTGTTTCCTGAAGATAACATAACAAGTTCAGAGTTTTGGTTTTTCCACTCTTATTAAGAATAAATAAATTGAGCTTTTGACTTAATGATACAGCGATTTCAAATCGAAGCAATGCCCATACATATCACTTCAAAAACAAATTGTGTGCCTGCTAGCTGTGTCTGATAGTGTACTGTACACTATAACTAGCTTAGTCATTTTGATGATAGGAGATGGGGGAAGTTATTATGTGGTCCGGCCTTTTTTTTGACCCCACGCATAGCGGGAGCTTAGTGTACCGACCCATTTGAGCTCATTATCAAAAAGCAAATTGTGAAGTGAAAAGTTTCAGTTATGATGAGGAAAAAAAGGTTGTGCATTTTTCTTTCTTTACGGTGAAGAGGGGCCATAAAATTGATGATTCCATTCTGAGCAAAGAAAACTAGAGCAACTTCTCGTTGACCCAAATTAGACGGTTAATTAGATATATATCCATCATTTGTTTCGTAGCTACGTAAAGGTCACCAGTTGCCAATGTCAACGTCTATTACAGGACTGCATTATAAATAAAGGAAGCCTTTTGGTTCTCTGCCTCATTATTTTCCAACAGATCGAGAGATGGCGGCTGGTCTTGGGTTTCGACGCTATTTATTGTGCATCTTGTTTCTTCTTTCAATCACTATATTTTGTGTTTCTGCCCGTAACTTCATTTCTCTCTCAGGTATATACTATGCGTCCATTCCTTTATATAGCGACTTTTATCTCTCTGTCTTTTCATCCTTTGTCACGTACCTAGTGGAAGTAGTAGTTTTTATTTTTGTTGGTATAATTATTTGTTTGAAATTCATTGGTCCAACTAACTGCATAAATTTCTTAAAAGAGGAAAGCAATCTCTACTAAAATTTTATTTATTTACAAAACTTTAAAACTATGAATCTGCCGTTTCCTAAAATTTAATGTACTGCAGTGTTCTTCGGGTGGTCGGCAATGTTTTTTTGGATTCATATGCAAATACTTGACGCCTTCAACTTTTGAACCGGAAGTTAATCTGAAATAGACTAATATGTTAAAAATTGTAGTAATACATAAATGGTATTGACAAGTGACAAAAAAGGCTCGATGTGATCAGTCGGTAGTATGATTCCATTTACTTTCTCCGTCCCAAATTATGTGATGGTATTTGATTAGGTACGTAATTTAAGGAAGAAAGATTTTAGAAATTTATGGTTTAAAACAACCCAAAGAGAGTTAAGTTACTTAGTAATATAAAAAGATACTATTCTTCTTAAGAGTAACACATAAATTAGGAGGGAGGGAGGGAGCAGTACATAAATCTGTACTAGTAATTACTATGAATACTGTGACGAATATTCTCATATAACATAGAACTTACATTTCCAGTTACTATACACTATACTGTGTGTTCTGGAAAGTGAAAATTTCTCTTCTTTTTTCCTTTTGCAGGGGAAGAGATGGAAATGCTACAAGTGAGTCCACAGGATTATGGTGAACCTTCCGCAAACAACAACCACTATCCTGGCAGGGGCAGGTTCAATGGTGGTGGCAGTGGCCGTGGCCGCAACAACTGGCCATGACAATTAATTATTCACTATATATCCTCATGAGCGCACATTTTCTGTACGTTGCACAATAAAAATCTGTTACCTCGTATATTTTGTACTCAGTTTGAATCCTCTGCTGTTCGTGCCATTCGTGTTATTTCATGCGTCTCTTATACATATTACAGAGAATTCTTATTCAACAAGTGTTAGTGAGGCATTAAAGGTCTAGGACCAATGATGAAGCAGTTTCATTATATTGACAAGAACTTCCTAAGATTGTTGATACAGTTTCGTCTTTGTACACCCAGAATAAATGTGATTTATATAATTAAGAATTATTAGCTATGGAAATAAATTTGTTTGCGGATTATATATTAATCATTTTATTTGAAAAGATTCTAATTTTCTTACATTTAGTGATTGGATGCATGAGTCATAAACTTAGTAACTAAAAAATATGAAGCTTGTAACAACGATTTGTCTACTAAACTTCCCCACCGGAAAAAATCGTTGGCTGAGTAATATTTAACTACAAATCGGAGTTATCAGCCATGTATTATTTTGAATTAATAACAACAAAGTTTCTTCATAAAAATACACTATTAAAATGGTACTACTACAAGTTTGTAGTTAGACAATACTCCTTCCGTCCCAATTTATATGGCGGTACTCGGATTTCGAGAAACAAACGAGTTTTTCTTTTATCTCAATTTTTTTGATTAATTCTTTGAAAGTTTTGAATTATAATTATTATGTATTATAGTACATTTTACATAATTTTCAAATATGTAAATTTTATTTCAAAAAAATTGAAATATTCTATGATAGAATTCATGGTCAAAATTAAGTAGTTTAAATCAGTATTTTAAAAGGCATTTTTGGGGCGAGCCCTGGGGCGAGGTGCACCAAAAACGCCCCGAGGCTATAGTGTGGGGCGAAAGTCTCAAGAAAGCGTATGCCTGGGTGTTCGGGGCGTACGCCCGGGCGTTTGAGGCGTAAGCCCCATAGACTTTTTCAAATTAAAACAAAATTTGTTGAATAAGTCTTTTATATAATACCCAAATTCTCAAAATTCAGCTTGGTAATTACTCAAAAGTTTTAAAAAGGAACTGAAATGTATTAAATTTAAACGACAAGACCTTTTTTATTGATTGAAGCTCTAATTCATGGTCTTTCCCAATTCTTTATCTTGTCCGCTAGTCTGCTAATATCTCCCAAAAGCAATGAATACTCAATTTATTTTTAAAAATACAAAAAGAACTCAATTCTCCTTCATAACAGCAAGTTCAAAGTTCAAATTGCAGGTTAGTCATCCTTTTTGTTCCTCCATGTAGAAACCTTTATTCTTTTCGACTCAAGTTACTTGTGCTTTTATGTAGTGTATATTAGATTATTTTGACTAATTTTTGTGGGGATGAAGCAATGTATGTATCTATATATATATATATATATATATATACCGTAATTATATTATTTTATAAAATATAAAAATAAAATATCTATGGGGCTTATGCCCCGTGCCTCAGGGCTTACGCCTCGTTAAGGCATATATAAAACGTCTCGTCTTACGCCCACGCCTTTTAAAACACTGGTTTAATCTCCAAATCCGCAAATTGTCACATAAATTGGAATGGAGGAATTATGAACATTGAACTTTAGTCACACAATTTTTATTAATTACAATAGCTTTTGCCATTCACAGTGTATGTCATATTTCTTCATGTGGGGTAATTTCAAAAAATCTCAATAAAAATAAAAAAGGTACTAAATTAAGGTGTCAACTAGACCAGTCCGTTCAGGAACAGGCCATATCTTTTTAGAAAAATTTTCATAAAGCATTATCTTTTAGTGATAATTAGCTATCTGTAGATACCATTTGCTATATTACTGATTGTAGATACGTTTTCTGTTGTTATAAGATGTATTAGATGTATTTAAGCACCGTATTCATGAATACAATAGTAAAAATAGGCGTGAATCAGGGAAGTCCAGCTAATCAGTTGTTGTATTCGAGTGTATTAGACTGTATTCATGGCGTGAAACATGGGATTTCAGCTGGACAAATTATTGTATTCGACTGTATTCACGGCGTGAAACAGGGGATTGCACTATTTTTAAATGGAAAGTGAATCAATTAACATAATAGACTCCTAATATAACTCAACAAACTCAACTATAACACACAAATTTTGTATTTCCAGTTATAAAAAAGATTCTCAACCGAAAAACACCCCAAAAACATAGCAATCTTCAGAGAAATTATATAATACATCTGAATACATAAATTATATAAATTAAAAAAATATATGAATATATTCATAGAATACAACGAGAAATTGAATACAATAAAATACATGGAATACAACGAGATACATTGAAATACAATGAAAAAAAAGACAATGAATACAATGAAATACATGATAATACAATCCCACACCCGACTCTTCAGACCCCAATTTCCTCAGTCCCAGACCAACTTCAGAAACAACAATCAGCCCAAAAAAATTCCCAATAGAGAAACGAAGAAAGTCAAAGATAATTCGCGATAGAAAATTAAGAACTGGGCTTGTGAAGCAGGATCCACCAAACTTTGAGATTGGATGGAAGAGAACAAAGACTAATTTCCGGCATCATAGAAAATCTGGTAGCCTAATTTCTGACGGAGATTGGATGAACAGATGTTTGCCTAACCTCTACGGCAGCATAGAAAATCTGAATGGACTCTGTCCAAATTGTCGAAACCATATGTCAACATATTTGACGTGGTAACATATATGCGTGCTCCGATGGAATTGGAGAAATTGGGATTGGAGAGAACGTAGGTGATGTGGGTGAGAGGAATTTTGAGATTGAGCATCGTGTTTTCAGGGAATTGGGGAAGAGAATAGCATATATCAAAGTAGAGAGAGAAAAAAAAAATAGTGTAACTGAATATCGTATTTAGTGGCTTAGGGTTAGGAGGTAACCAAAATTAGATATTTTGCTATAAACATTAAAAAGTATCTATAGAATATAATTTTTTTAAATGATATTTATTTAAACTAAATAAGGTGTTAACCTTTCCATCTTTTTACCACGGTCCAGGACCCGGCCCACGCCCTTACTAATCAAAAACTGTCAATAAGACGAGCAACAAAATGCATGAAGAACAGAAAAAGTTGTTAGCTTGGCCTGGTGGTAAGTTATAATCGTGCTCATTGTATCATGTGCAAATATCACTTATCGTAGTTAGTGGTGGCAAAATAGATTAAAAAAATAATTATTCATTTATTAGGGTGAAATTTAAAAATAGCAAGATTTACAAGTGTAACTGAAAAATTGCGACAGTTTCAAAAGTAATCGAAATTTAACCATTTTCATGTAAAGATAAATCTGAAAGAAAACACTATTCAAAATCCAGAAAATATTCCAGCATAATATACTGGAGTTCGAATTTTTTACATGTGAACTTCCAGCATAATATACTAGAGCTCCAGCATAATATGCTGGAAGTTCATACATAGGTGCTCCAATCTCCAGTATATTATGCTAGAACTTTCCGTGTGTTGGAGTTCCAGCATAATATGCTGGAAGTTCATACACAGACACACCAATCTCCAATATATTATGCTGGAACTTTCCGTATTGCAGCAAAATAGTGGCTATTTTTAATGACTTTGCAAAAATATTTTTTCAATTACCAGTCCGAAAAGTGCTATTTTCGCTCATACTATTCATTAAAAGATAGGTTAAATAATAAACTTTTTATAAATGGGTCAAATATGGATAGGATTATTATCCATTTAAAAATGGATAACCAATGTGTTTAACTTTTACGATTATAAAAACATATATTAGGCCCGATACCCCCCCCCCCCCCCCGTTCGTCAACATAAAAAAAATACACCATCAAATCATACAATTACTGGGAATGCAACTGCAAGTAATTCATGATAAAAACATGTTCCACATGTTTAATGGGCTCAAAGACTCGTTGGAAAGTAATCCAATTGGTCTGCAACTATGTGGAGCAAAAGAGAAGTAGGTCGTCCTGAAACTTATTTTCCTTTGGGATTAATTAGCAAAAGTTTCACGGGCACCCAAGTTTTTCACTACCATTTAATTTGTACCCATTTTTTTTTTAAAGAAGTTTCACTGGTACTAAATTTTGGATAACTTCAGATACGCTTTTCTCTTCGTCTTGTATTCATGTCTCATGTATTCAGAAGCTTCACTGCTGTTTTCTTCTTTTTTGCATAAATTCAGGAGCCGTTTGGTTTCTTCTTCTTCTTAGTTACAGAACACTATTGTAGGTTGTCCTTACGGTTTCTTCTTCTTCTTCTTCTTCTTCTTCTTCTTCTTCTTCTTCTTCTTCTTCTTCTTCTTCTTCTTCTTCTTAGTTTCAAATTAGATTTGTTGTTGTTTTGATAATTTGATAATTGAGATTTGTTATTTATGATATTTGAAAGTCATATTTCAAATTTGAGCTCATTTGGAGTAGATTTGGGCGTTCAACTGTGTGTTGAATTATTGAAATTCGAAGAACAAGTTCATGTTTCAGAACTTAAGAACCGTTTTTTGAAGTTGCATTGAAGAGATAGATCTGTTTAAGATCTGATTTTTCTGAAGTTGCATTAGAAAGATAGAAAAACTTAGGATCTGATTTTCGAAGTTGCATTAAAGATATATAACTACTTAAGATCCAATTTTCTAAAGTTGCATTAGAAAGATAGAAGAACTTCATATCTGATCTCTAAAGTTGCATTGAAGAGATGGAACTACTTAAGATCTATTTTCCAAAGTTACATTAGAAAGATAAAAGAACTTCAAGTCTGATTTTGAAGTTGCATTAAAGAGATAGAAAATTCAGATAGGGTAAATTTTTGCAAATTCTTATGCAATACGTGTATAATTGTAGCCCCAAAAGTGGATATATGTGAACGTCCCCCAATTAATTGTATTGGAATAAATTCTCAAATACCTATGGAAGCCAAAAAAAAGTACTATTAGCTACATGATCCCTATTTTTGCTCTTCTACTTTTTTTTCTATCCTTTTTCTCGTCCCCTTTTCTCCTTTTATTTTCTATTTCCTTCGTTCTCTTTTTTCTCCTTTTCTTTTTTCTTTTTCGTGTTTTGTTTCTTTCTTTTCCTTTCTTTGTTCGTATTTTCTGATAGGCTTCAGAGTGGTTTTGGACTTAAGAAAATTGTTGTTTTTGGTGCAGGTCTCTGAGCTCGCAATTGCGAGGTCAGTGTCGCATTTGCGAACGTCCATGTCTTCTGTTAGGTTCGTATTGGCGAACAAGTAGTTCGCATTTGCAAAGTGGTACCGGGGGAGAGTGATCGCATTTGCGATCAAATTGTCGCAATTGCGGAAGTCCAATTTC